CTATTCCCAGTATCTAGTTTTGCTGCCACACTGGATTCATGTGCACTGTGTGTATTTTGCAGCTGCTTGAAAGGCTTTGAGGTGCTTCAAATCGCATGTTCCTGCTCATAGGGATGCGGCCATGGAGGCAGTGGCAACTTCCCCATATCCCCTGCTGCCAGGCCTTTCCCAATCTGGGTCCACGTGCCGCCCCCATGCTCTCCCACTGCTCGCCCAGCTGGGCGCAGCAGGGTAAAGCCATGGCTTGTCCGGGAGGCACAGGGAGGCTGGAGTGGCTTCTGCTGCTGCGCACTGCTTGTCTGAGGCAGCACAGTGGCACTGTCTTGTGCCTTCCCACCCCAGCTGGGTGAGTGGTGGGAGGGCATAGCCCCCACTCCCAGTGCCTTCCACCCGGAGTGAGCCATGCCTATATTGCATCCCCTCTGCCCTGGCTGGGCAAGCAGCAGAAGAGCGTAGCCCACACTCTCAGCACTGCTGCGCCCACATCTTTCGCCATCCCCGCCCTGGCTGGACAAGCGGCAGCAGGGCAGAGCCCCCACTCCCAGCACCTTCTGCCACCCATCTGGAGTGCAGCCTGGCCCAGCCCACCCTCTCTGTGGGGGCATTGATTTGTCCTCTCCCGTGCCCCTTCCCTTCCCCCTCTGCCCACCACAACAGACTTGCCAGCTGGAGGCAGCTGTCCCCAGCATGGGGACAGTCTATGGCTGAATCTCTGAATTGGCCTGAAATCTCTGAATCAATTCAGAGGTTTCTGATTTGATTCGGACCTTTTAGTGGGTCTCCTGATTTGATTCAGTTTCGGAGATTCAGCTGCCAAATCGGGCCGAATCTCCTCCAAATTGAATTGGCTCCTGAAGCTTCGCACAGCCCTACTGTTCAGTAGCACCCCTTGCCAGCTAATTAAAGGCCTAATCCTGCAAGCTGATTTTCTTTTGGTAAGTGTGGAGTGCAGTGAACTTCTATTGATTTAGCATTTTTACTCAAATCTCAAATGTGTTTTTTTTCTGTATTCAACTGTGGGGGGAGGGGGAGCCTATCATCTTAGATTTGAGTGCAAGCAAAGGTGATAGCTGTAGCTCCAACTCCAACCCCAAACGTGGAGTCAAGGTTGCAGCCACAGATGCTGCCCCCACTCTCTACCTGCCCCCTTCAGCCTCTGCTCCCACCAACCTTTGCTTCCCCTCAGCTGCTTATCTTCCCATTCCAGCTCGAGTGGGGGAGAAATTCAGGAGGGGTCTGTGGAGAGAGGCAGGCAGCAAGGGGGCAGGCAGGAAAGGAGGCAAGTTGTGGGGTAGAGCAGGTGCCAAGGATGCAGGCACTGTGGGGGGGCAGGTGTTGGGGGAGCAGGCAGAAGGAGTGCAATTGGGGAGGCAGTCAGCAGGGGGGCAGGGGCTATGGGCATCAGCCAGGGGCCATGTGTGGGGCATACAGCCACCAGGTGAGCAGACCACTGGGTCCCCTTCCTGCCTGCCCCCAGCAGTGAGAGGGGTCACAAATTTTAAGCTGACCCTCCAAAAATTAGGTTCTAGACATAGAAGAATATAACAAATTTGTAAATTTTCCATATCTAAAATCTAATTAGTGGGGAGTCATCTTAAATTCAGTTCTTCTGGATTCAGGTAAATACAATAAGTGGATTTTAAAGTCTGGAATCTTCAAGTGTTGCACAAATTAGTATTTCTGGATAAAGGAGCATTTCCCTTTAATACTGCATGATACCTGTCACTTACATTTGAGCACATTAAAGAGTTAAGCCTCAAGATACTTCTGTAAAGCAGGCAAAAATCAGTGTCTTCCTTTTGGAGATAGAGACATGAGGTGCAGATTAAGCAAATTGTTGAAGTCTATGAGAAACCTGGGATTTAAATCTAGCTCTCTGCAGAATAGGTGCCTATTCATATGCAGAGAGGCTGCTCCAATGTGTTGTAATTATAGTGTGTCGGAGCAGGTTCGATTAATCGAGGCTGCTGGTGCGTGGTAATTATTGCTCTCCAGCAGACTCCAGTGTCTCATGTACTAGCACCCCCACACTGAAAAATAGCAGTGGGTGTGCTTTAACTAAAGCTCGTTTGAAACGAGACTCCTCCCCCCCGGCATGAACACAACCATGTTCAATTTAAGTCCCCATACAAATTTAGAATATCAGAAAACTAGTTAGGTAGAATCCTTTATATTGGATGCATCCTGGGTTAACTTGGGAACTGAGGAAAAAGTGCATGTAGGATTGCTTAATTTAAATGCATGCTGTTTAACATATTGAGTAGCTCATTTGTCCTTTTTTTCAATTATGATGACTGTGGCGGGCCAGTAGGGGGTGCTCCTGCATTGAGCCACCTGCCTCACTGTGCCCAACCACCTTCCAGGCTCCGAGTGCCTCCCTGGGGGTGCCTCACATCCAGCCAGCCCACTTCCTGGAGCATACCTGCAAGCCTGGGGGTAACACTGCAACCACCCAGAGTCTGGACTGATCTTGGACCTTCACCCTCTGGGAAACACAGGCCTAGTGGTCCTTGAGAGTACTTGACCCACTACAAGAACTTGGGGTGCTTCCCTCAGACTGAAGCACAAATAGTGGTCTCCCTTAGTCAGCCAAACCAAGGGGTCCCCAAGGCATAATCTAGACCAAATGAGTCTCCTATGCTAGGTACAAAGAAGAATCTTATTGGTTACAAGGAGTAGGTTTGGAATAGGGTACAGGGTAGAGCGATATCAGAGAAATCACTTAGAGCAAACAGTGGCATGGTAGCCTTTGATCTCATATCAGAGTTACTGCAAGCTGTATATCTAGTTAGATTTCAAGTAGCTTACACACAAGTATCATCCAGAGGCAGATGGAGATTTCCTCTGGAGGCAAGCAGTTCATTGACCACGAGTTTCAAGAGAGAGAGAGTTTCAGATGATCCAACTTCTCTGAGAGTTCTCATTATGGCTGCTGCCCCCCCCCAACCGGGCAGTCCTTAACTTATATAGACCTTATGGCCATGTGTAGACTAAACGAGGGGCGTGTGTGCACAACACCTTAAAGCGGGCTAAGTGCTTTTGCACCGCTTTAATGGTGTTGGTGTTTGCATGCCTCGGCAGCGTATTGCATGTTAATTCTAGCTGCTGTAGGAAATTCGGCAGCGTAATGCACCTTAAATGACTTGGGGCACACCTTAAATGACTCCGTGGCCCCTGCAGCCACGGAGCGAAGCACTGGGCTATGTGCAGCTCCGCGGTTCTGCAGGAAGCCTTGCAGGCAGCCTGGCAGCAGCCCGGGAAAACAGGTTCCGCCCATACCTGATCCTCCCCCCGAAGCTTGCCTGCCTACCTGAGCTGTGCAGGGGTCTGGTGCTTCCCTCTATGGCTGCGGTGCCCCTCGCTCCCCGGGACCGCCCGAGCCAGGTGCATGCAGGCAGGTGCCGCCTGGGGGTGCCACCGCTGCAGCGGAGGGAAACACCAATCCCACCCCCCCAGCCCAGGGACTGCTCCGCCCGCTGGCAGCTCACCTTCCTCTCCCCACCAGAGAGGCAGGTAAGTCAGCAGGGTGTACACACAACACGGGGGTTTAATTGGCCCTAAATTGAAGCAGTGTTTTTTAAAACCCACTGCTTCAATTTAGGGCCCCCTTTTTGTCTACACACGCCCTATGACCTTATTTACCCGATCCAATGGAGCCCAGCAGCTGTTGGCTACCGGTAACAAGTTTGTCAAGATCCAGCTCCCCCTGCACTGGTGATATGGCACAATGGGATCCAGTAATTATGTCTCTTGCCTTGCATGTGTGGCATGGTAGGAAGCATGATTGTTGAGATCCTGCGTCAGATCCTATTGCATATTTACTTTAACATCTATCAGGGGCCGTAGGTACCGATAAATGATGACTTACAAACTATGGCAACTGTGGGCACTTACACACCTGTGGGGAGCCTGCTCCAGCACGTTGGAGAACCAGCACATGGTAATTCTTACACTCCAGCAGACTCCAGCATCTCATGTATTAGCATCCCTGCACTGAAAAATGATGACGATTAGTCGAGTCTGCTGGATCACGTAAATTGGCATGCTATGGTAGCCTCATACATCATCTGTATCAGTGGTGCAGCGCGTCTGCATACTGAGAAAATGGCAGCAGCACGCTTTGAAATGAAACACGTTCAATGTGCTTTAGTTCAAAGTGCCCTGCTACCATTTTCTTAGCGCAGGGATGTGCTGCACTGCCAGTGTACCTGATGTGCAGGCACTTTCAATAAGTGTGGCTCGCTAATTAGAAGTCCCCAGTGCTGCATCAGGAACACATGTAAAAATGCCTTGTATGCCTATAGTGTGATATACCTTTACTATTGGTGAGTGCATTATTGCATTAAAAATAGGTTTAAACTTTCTGTGATTTTTTTATGCTTCTCTTTATTATGCAAATACAAAAAATGTATAAAAAATGTACAGTCCTCGTCTTGCTTGTGGCTGATTTGTAGGGGTGGAAAGGTAAATAGAAGCTGAAGAGTTAGAGGAGCATTCATTCTTTTTGTTCAAGACCTTGTCCTCTAAGATGGTTTAGCAGCAAGCATAACGTCTGTAGAGGGCTCACCTGTTCTCTTCCCAGAAAAAAATCAGGGCATAAATCTGTAAGAAGAAATTTAATAATTTAATGTACTAAGAACTTCATTTGAGAAATTCCAGACATTGCATTTATAAGCTGATTGTGATGATGGAATACTGAACTTCATTCAGAAGCTTACATTGTATATCGGATTTTTTCCTGGGTGACCAAATTTATTTTTTCCTGGGCAGCCAGTTTATTCCCCGAGTCATAATCATCATACTTGTTTGTTCTTATTCTTTAAAATAGTTTTAAGATTCACATTCTAGTTTTGGTTTCAGGCCTTTAATTCAGTACAGAATCATTATTAAATTCAATTCACACCTGAAAAGCTATCTCTTTTGTATTCCACATGTCACATATTTAAAAAGTAAAGACATGGTGCTATATTTTGTATGGTCTTTATTTTCTTGTTGTTTAGTTATCAAGGAGGTGTATAATTCCCTTGAAGATGTGGGCCATATAGTCAAAGAAGCATCTGACACTCTGGAATGCAGAATTGAAAGAATTCTGCAGAATATGGCCAAAACTCCTCTTTTAATTCTGCCTGAAGATGAACCCATTGAAGTACCTGATTTCCTGGAGATGACACAAAAGCTTACCTTTGCAGCAGCTGGTACTCTGTCTCTGTAGGTTTAACTCTCATATAGTTTGTGGAATCTACGGGTAGAAATGAGTGTAACCTTACATTTCATTTGTGCCACCTGTACATTTTTTTTTGGCGGCACAAATGCTGAGCATATGGACCGCATTGGGCATTTACTTTTTTCCCATGACGCGCTAGAGATCCGCTGCTTCACTGATTAATTGAGTCTGCTCTGCATGTGAGCTGAAGCAAGCTGCACTGCACCATGTGCAGTTGTATAAGTAGTGAAATATGCATCAGTGTGCAGAAAATGGCAGTGGTGCGCTTTTGACCTAAACCACCTCTGTGGTGTTTTAGTTCAAAAGCACCCTGCTGCCATTTTCTCAGCCGGGCACTTCCTTTTCAAAGTGCCCACCAGTGCAACACGTGCATCTGTAAAGATGCCCATTACTTTTGGTTGCACCACATCAAAGGAAAATCAGTGGCTCAACAAAAGGTGGTAATAAACTCTGCCACTTTATTGTGGAGGACATAGGTGATGCGTAGCAGGGGGCATGTGTGCCCCTGACAGTGCTGGTGCCCCCCTAACAGTGAGCGCTTCAACTGGTAGGGGGCATGGAAAGCAGTCATAGTGCCTGCCCTGACATTGGCTCCACCGCGTCACAGACGTCATGCCCTGCTGGTGCCCCCCCCAGACTTGGGAGGCACCAGTCGCCCATGATGGTGGATGTCTCGCTATTTATCTGCTGCTTTTTCTGCTCAGCCAGGCCTGTGCCCTGGGTCTGGCTGAGTGGGGAAAAATGCTTCTGTGCTCAGTAGACATGAAGGTCTGGCTGGATGGGGAAAACCTCTTTCTCCTCCACTTAGCCTTGTAGAAGAATTCCCCCCGAACATCTGCAAGTGTGGAGTGGGGAGTGCAAGTCCTCCCCCCCACCCATCTCCTGCAGAGGGATTTCCCCACATCTGCCTGAAAATGTGGAGGAGGGGAGGGGGACCTCTCTTCAAGTGCCCCCTGGCTGTGCCAGTAGGTGGATGGTGGGAAAATCCCTTGCAGAAGATTCTTCCACTCCCTAACACAGGTGCGTCTGCAAGCAGTAAGTCAGTAGATGTCTCTGCAGTGTGATCAGCTGTGCTGTAACATGTTGCAGCACAGCTGATCATGCTTCACAAATACTTCTGTTTCTAGCCTGTAACTGATTAAGTTCAGAATACATTAGCATTTTAATCTCAGTTATAATAAAACTTAAGGTATTACCTACAGTATGTTGCATCTTTACATTGTAACTGTAATACTTATTTTTGGTTTTTTGCACTGAAACGCAGTAACTCTAGCTGGATAAAGCATTAGCTCAACTCATCTGAAAAAATACCAGTAATCCTCTTTTAAATGGCCATGAGATCTAGTTATACTGGATATATAGACTACAAGGTACAAAATGGGCTGCCTGATATAGCATAATTTAACATCTCCATTTTATAGTATGCCCAAGCAGTTGGAGCTAACTGAAAAGTTTACATTTGTTTATCTGCACATAGAGGCTTTTACTATAGGTTCCTCTGAAAAACAGCATTTACACGTTTTCTCTGGTTTTGGACTTTTTTAGTTCTTTCATTGATGATTTTAATCTGATATCCTTGATGGTTCTTTGTAGAGAAAGCCAGCAGGTGGAACATTCTGTGTATGAACTGATAGACATTCTTAAGCACAGGTTGAAGCCAGAAGTCAAAAGTAGTCTTCAGGTAAGATGTAAAATGTAACCAAGTAAGATTTATTTGATAAGCTGTTAAAACTGCCTGTACTTCATGTATGAATGGAATTATTTGGAAACTTTTTTATTTTTTTGCTTTCTCTTTGACTCTTCAGGATACGTTTACCTGCAAACATCCTGATGTGAAACAAAAAACACGCTGCCAGGAATGTCTGTCTTGCAGCTATTATAATCTCCTGGGGCAACTTTGTCAGAAAAATACTGACTCTGTAGTCAAATGTAGGTTTTCATTTTTAAATATTCTTAATTTTAAACTTCTATAAGAATTTAAAATTCTCAGCTGTTTGTGGTCACTACAATAATTGCATATACGTGTTATATTCACTTAGGCACCCAGATTTCTTTAGAAGCTCTAAAACGTCGTTTACACGTTGCCAACTCTAAATATCAGATAACCAAATTGATAAAGGATCAAAGAGTTCCATTATTCAAAGCTGAAATTCAGTTGGCCATTCCAAATGTTGTCTTGAGACCAAGTCTTGATGAAATCCAGGTAACAGAAAAAAAGAACATTACAGTAATTTAAATAAGTTACTTGAAAATAGGTGTGTCTGTTTAAATCACACATAATGATACTAATGAGAAAAATAAGACTAAACTTAAAAATCAGTGGTACATGAGGTTACATCTTGAGAGAAGAGAACTGAAGCCAACAACCAACTTGTTACAATGGCCAATAAAAACAGCACTTATACTGGTGAGGTTATGCCTCTTATCTATAATTCTCCTTTTGAACAAGGCAAATATTTCACAAGGTGTGCACAAGACAAAAGTGTTAATTTCAGTGCAAACAGTAAACACCTATTCAGCCTGCTCATTCCAGTTGTTGCTTTAGTTGCATCTGCTGAGCATATCAGTTTGCAACAACAGCTGTAAATAAGTGTAACTACCATACGACTGAGAGACATGAAAAATATTGCTGCCCTCTGAATTATTTAAACACTTGCAAAAGGCAAGAATCCTTTTGGAGGATATTTTTTATTGTACCAGCTGTATGGTTGGTATAGACATAGGCAAGCCTACAGGTATCATAGTACCCTTAAACAGTTGCTTAATTTTAGGGGGTGTTGGTTGTAGCCATGTTGGTCTAAGGATATCACCAGACAAGGTTCTTTGAGTAAATGTGATATTTTTTATTAGACCAACTAAATAATTGGAAAAAAATGTTCTTTGCAAGCTTTCGGGCACAAACACCTTTCTTCAGGCATAGGGAGAGTCTGCTGCTGTTTTGTGTTCTCCTGGATGGAATAGAAGCCAATATGCAAAATGTAGGTCTGTGAAAATGTAAATGTGTGGCAGTGAGGATCAGAGACCATCACTGCCACATATTTGCATTTTCAGGGCTCAGACTCCCCACCCTGCTGCTCTGCCCCAGGGCCTCCACAGACTAGCGGGAGGGACCTGGTGCAGCAGGGCACAGCAGGGCCAGGCGGGGAAGCTCCTTGCCACTGCAAGCCCTGCGCTGCCGTGGTGAGGTGCTTCCTGCCCACCCAGCACAGGGTTGTGTCCCTCGCTCCTGCCAGACAGACACAGGTTGCCAGGGCAGCACGGGTCTTGCAGCAGCAAGGAGCCTCCCAGTCCTGCTCTGCCCTGTTGGGCCAGGTCCTGCTCACTGGGTTACAGAGGCCCCAGGGAAGGGCAGCAGGACGGGGAACCCCACCCACAGTGGGGGTTGATGATTGATGGTTTCTTTGATTTTTTTTTCCCAAGATCTTTCCAGGGATTGAGGTCAAACTGATTGTCCTGTAGTTCCCTGGATCTTTCTTCCTTCTTTTCTTGAAAATAGGCACCACATTGGCCATTTTCCAATCTTCTGGAACCTCTCCTGAGCACCATGAGTTCTCAAATATCCTCACCATTGGCATGCTATGATGTCAGCCAACTCTTTTAGCACTCTTGGCTGCATTCCATCCAGACCAGCTGACTTGTGGATGTCCAGCTTTACAAGGTGTTCCCTCACAAGATCTTCACCAATTATAGGCATATGATTACCCTTGCCCTGGTAATCCTGCATCCTGTCAGGCAGGATTATCCCTTTGGGCTGATGCAAAACTGAAGTAAAGGAATCATTGAGGAGATCAGCTTTTTCCTGTGTGTCAGTTGTCAGCTGCCCCATTTGCTTCAGCAAGGATCCAATGTTGCCTTTGTTTTTTTTTGACTTCCCACATATCTGAAGAAGGACTTTTTATTGTCCTTGATTCCCATAGCCAGTTTGAGTTCGGTTTGAACGTTAGCTTTTCTGGTCCGCTCCCTACAGGTGCGGGCCAGTGCAGTATAATCCTTCTTTGAGGTATTTCCCAACTTCCATCCTTTATAAGCTTCTCTTTTCCGGTTCAGGAGGTCCATGAGTTCCCTGTTGAGCCAAGGGGTCTCCCAGTCCTTTTGCTACCTTTCCTACAGGCTGGAATGGACTTCCCTTTTGCTTTTAGGATCGCATCCTTAAGGAGTGACCACACACTGTGGAGTCCCTTCCCTGTCAGATCATGGTCTCTCGGGACTCAACAACCAACCTCCTGAACTTGTGAAAGCCAACTTTCCTAAAGTCAAGGATTTCTGCATTGCTGACAGATTTGCCAGTTTTGTGATGGATAGAGAAAATGATCAACTCATGATCACGGTCACCAAGCTTCCCTTTGATCCTCAGGTCACTCACTAAATCTTCCCCTTTGGCCAGTGCCAGATCCAGTAGCGCCTTACCTCTTGTCGGCTTGTAGACTTCTTGAGTCAAATAGAGCTCATAAGTGCAAGTGAGGAAGCTTCACAACCGATCAGATTTGGCAGTTTGCTCTTCCCATGAGATGTCAGGGTGGTTGAAGTCACCCACGGCGATCATGCACTGACAGCGTGCAGCCTCTCCAGTTCCCTAGAGAATTTGTGGTCAAGCTCTTCCTCCTGGTTAGGAGGTCAATAATAGACTCCTACAGTTATATCCCCTTCATTATGTTCTCCCCATATTATAACCAAGAGAGTCTCAAATCAGTTGGGAGCCAATCTCTGCTTGTAGAGAAGTGTACTACTCCTTCACATAGAGAGCTACACCCCTGCCCTTTCTTGCAACACAATCCCTCCTGTACAAGATATAGCCATCGATACCTGTGGTCAGTCATATGTGGAGTCCCAGCAGGTCTCTGTTATCCCTATGAGATCGTATACATTTTTGCTTAGCAGAAGGGCCAGTTCCTCCTGTTTGTTCCTGAAGCTCCTGGTATTTGTGTACAGGCAGCTAAATCTGCCATTGGAAGCCCTGGGCTTCCTTGTGATTTTAGAAGACCTCTTAGATTTTCCGTGATGAAAAACCCAAAATCAAATACCAATATTTATAGGTACTTTTAGTTAAGCGATTAAACCAAATTTACCAAATTGCTTTAAAATGGTAAATATATCAATAAAACATTGTGTTCAGTTGATGCCTATATATAGTGGCGTTTCATTTTAATAGCAGATTTTGATATTTTTAATCAGAGATTTTGTGATGTTTTATCAGAGAATTTGCTATTTTTAAACAGAGAAAACCAGGAACCCTTCTTATCAGCAAGAAGGCCAACAGTGAAATGTAGTTTAAAAATACTATAGAAAGAAAGGTTTGTATGATGCCATAATTTACACGGCTGGAGATGAATGTTCAGCTGTTCAGATAAATATAAAAGGGCATTTTAACACAATTGTTAAAAGGGATTACGTTAATATTAACTGCCTCTGTTTACTCGTGTTCAAAATTGGTTATAATATAGTAATTATATCACAGTCCCCTATAAGGCTAAATTGCTATAAAAGTCCTTTAATATCTTCAGATAAAAGATATGCTAGGATTATTAGGTAGTAGTTTAATCCATGTTAAGTTAAACAATTTTTAAACTAGTTTAAACTTATTCTGGTGTAGATAGGACTTTATGGGACACCTCTTTCTTTTACAAGTATAGGAATTATTTGGGGTACCCTGTAATATGCCACTTAGTAGAATAATTCATGGCTAACAAAAAAAATATAAAATGTGAAAGATGTGTTTTTTAGCCTTGATATTAAACACTTTTTAGCTAGGTCTGACTTTTATTTATGTTGATGGTGAACGTTTTATCGTTTTCAGAATGCTGTAAACAAAGCAGTAAATATCATGTTGTCAATGGCCAGAGATTTACCATTATGGAAGTTTGCTCATCTGCATCATAGACAGCAGCAGGTAGAGTATTGTCTAAAACAATTTAAATGTTCAAGATCTAGATTTTCTAAATTCCCTTGAAAAAATTTTCTTATTTAGACTTGTAGTTTTTCTTTTTTTCCTAGTGAGGTACGTAGAATAATTTGATGAAATATATATTTATGGGAACTCTTTACCTTAAATAATTAGTTAAATATAAGGCTATGTCAGTATGTTTCTTGAAAATATTTTCCTTATTTAAATAGCAACATAAGTTTCAATCTGCCTTTTACAAATAATTCTTGTGCATCATGGGTAATACAAACTGTAGAAGAAAACAAACATTATCTATGTTTTCTTAGTTAATTATGCATAATAAAACAGCATTTGTCTTCTCAAGCAAAAACTACATCTGTATTTACCCAGCAAACCTGGAATGAACTTGTTAGGTCTCTCCTGGGTCACTCGCAACAGCTGCTCTCAATGTGCCAGAGACTATGGTCTCAAAAGGGGACAAAGAGGGATAGCCCAAAGCATTCTTACTGATGCAAGTCTCGGTTTGGAGCATACTGGCCTGAATGTGTGGGTATGACAAGTTCAGGAATGACCTGGCCAGGATTCACCACCCCGAAAGTTTAGACATGTCCTGGATCACTGCGTCCTTCAAATGGGGGGAAAAGCTGGCTCCAGTATCAGGAAAGGGAAAGAAAATGTGCTTCATTTACAATCTGGTCCTAAATTTGAACATTAACCATGTTTTAAGATTTGATTTCTAGTCTTTGATGTTTACCTTTACCTATTATTTTAGTATTAAAAGTGCTGATATGCTCAGAAAAGGGGCTCTTTTAAAAATTGTGTTAATGTATTCGTCAGATCTTTTCTTTATTGGCTTTTAGAATTATATCTGATAACCTTCAGTCACAGAAGTAACATTTTTACTGCTCTTTGCTGCTATTAGTCTTGCAGAGTTAAAACAACCCAGAGATTCAATTTCTCCTTGTGTATCACCAGGAAAGACTTGGTAACTAAGGGCATTTATACACATACATTTTTGCACAGAGACACTCTAGAGATCTGGCGTGTCAGAGCAGACTTGATTAATTGTGTGCGCTTTGGACACGAGCTGACACGCACTGCACTGCACTGTGTGCAGTTGTATAAGTGGCAAAATGCATGTCAGCATACAGAAAATGGCAGTGGTGCAGTTTTGAGCTAAAGCATTTCCCGTGTGTTTTAGTTCAAAAGTGTGCTGCCTCCATTTTCTCAGCACTGACATGCATTTTACTGCTTATACAACTGCATGCGCTGCAGCACCAGCTACTTTTCAAAGTGCCCACCGCTGTGGCACATGCATGTGTACAAATGCCCTTAGTTTCAAAGGGTCACTCAGTGCAACCTATGTCACTTTTTATTTGAAGAAAGAATTAACTCAATTTTCATCTCAGATTCAAGGCAGGATTCCTACGGCTGGCAATCAGGGATAAAAAGAACTAGTAAAATTTCATTGAGAGATAATAAATGTGGAACCCCATAATGCCATTTTTACGCAGTCACTTTTAAGAATAGAATTATAATCCATCAAAATGATCCAATCAGAGAGAGGTGGTGGTTCATAATTGTTTTGGTCTACAGTTTTTATCTACCTTCATAAATGAGATACTGTGCTTATAATTCAGTCATTCTTATTTTAGTATGTCTGGTAAAACTGCCAGACATATTGACTTACTTATTCTATATCAGACTGAACAGGCTGCTGCCATAGAGCTCGGGGATGAGAGCAAACTGACGAAGATGGTGGCACTGAAACTTTTGGACAAACAGATCAGTGAACACAAAGATATAAACAAAGTAATAATCCATCTTAGCACGATAATTTCATCTCTTAAGAATGATGCTGCGAAAATTTTGAAGAGTTTTAGTAAATTCTCAAGCATCTGGAATCAGGTTAGCTACCTATTAAATACACTTTATCACTTTATTGAAAATTTATTTTTTTACTGATGAAGCTGCTTTTAGTTCTGTTGATAGAACTTGTGTCCTTTAGAAATTACATGATTTTGCCTGTCCTGTGCATCTTCCCCTTGTAAACATTTTCTAGGAACAATTGGTTTATTTTTCATATTACAAATAGACTAGATCTCACAGTGACTTATGATGTAGATCTTTGCACCTTCTGACTAGTGCAATCCAGTGCAGAGTAATATTAAGTAGCGACATCTTAAGCAGGAAAGATAAACTACCAACCCTACCTACCAAAAAATGTTATTGTCAGCCTGATCTTCGAGAATGAGCATGAAGCATGCCATCTACTGATTGTTTCCAGCCTTCACAGAAAATGAAGCAACATTCATATCACAGAATAGTGACAACCCATCTCCAGCTATATCTAGCATCTGCTGACATTCTGGATTCTTTGCAATCATACTTTTAGACCAAGGCTTGATATGGAGAAAACGCCAAAGTTTCTTGACAGCTGCTTCTTATCCACAAAAAATAGTATATGGAGATCTTCAAGCATCAGTACTGTCTCTTCAGTGGCTCAACTGTGGTCTTCGTCACCAATGATACTTTGATGACACACCATTCTGTCTCCCTCTTAGTATCTGCAATCAGTGTCATCACACAAACTTCACAAGGCCAGCAACAGATTAGCACTTAGATGAAAATTAGTTGGGTAAAAGTAAATCTAGAAAGAACCAAAGAAATTCCTGAGGCTGAAGTTCACAGAGAAACTTCAACCTTTTATGCAGAACATGGGAAACAGCCTCATTAAAAGAAAAAACAGCACACTAATGCTTTTTCCTATAAAATTAATTGATGGCATCTTTTCCACATGTGTGCACCAAAATGATTAAGACTCAAATATGCCCCAATCTGTATTAGTAGTCATAAAGTATAGGTAAAACATACAAGAAGAAAGGAGGCTGTTGAGCTGTTAGTCGTTGACAGGTGACTGGATATAGTTTCTTCAACTGCAAAATGATACCCTGGCTGTTGGCGGATTTTAGTCATTTTGCAAAGGATGAACGGAAAAGGAAGGGAAGTAATTATTCCCAGTACAAGTTTAGCAGCTTAATTGCTGACTGGCTGACTCAATTGACACATTTGGAGTGGTGGCAGGCATTCTTATTTTTATCAGTTTCTTTGCATAGATACAAAAAAGTGCTCCACACAGGGAATAGGACAAGGACAAGAAAAAGAAAAGTAAGTTAGGTCAAATAATTTATAAAATTTAAATTAGATCTTAAGCCCTTTGAGACATGGAACATATCTTCATACGTGTTAACATAGCACCTAGCACAGTTGGGAGCTCTTGAAGCTACTATAATTGAAATGTTAAATAATAACCAAACAATCTCCATTTTATGTAGGAGCCAGAAGAAAAAGTAAAAGAGTTTCTAGAAACAAATCCAGTGATGTCTGAATTCCACACTCAGCTTAGTTACTTTTCTGTAAGTACTACCTTAAACATCTCTGCTGTACAGAGAAAAATTGTAGTGCGGTAAGGATGATATTTGTTTTTATTTTTAGCTATTAGAAATCCAAATTAGAGAATTGCCAAATCATTGTGTATTGGAATCAGTGGATTTTGCAACAGAATCTTTGAAAATGGCCTTAATTCAGGAATGTCGTTTGAGACAGAGAACATTTGGATTAGCTTTAAATAAAAAATCTGCCGTAGACATGGATGAAATTTATGCATTCATTGACAATCTCAGCAAGCAATTAATCAGGCCAATCAATGATCTTGATGATGTGCGCAGCACAATGGAAGCACTAAAGGAAATTCGTGAAGTTGAGATAAAAATAGATATAACAATTGGACCTATAGAAGAATCTTACTCTCTGTTACATAAATATGATCTGCTCTTTCAAGATGGAAACGCAGAGAGAGTTGATGGGTTATCTTATGCATGGAAAAGCCTAAACACTCAGGTACTGTATCTTTAACACTTCTCAAATTTTAAATGGGAGTTGTTCTTATTCTTATCAGTATTTTTGTGTCAAATTATTGGAAAAGAGCTAATTTATTTTAAATATTTGCTTATTTAAAATCTTCCAATTTTTTTCACTTTTATGCATGTATTTGTGCATGGCAGGCACTAAGAACTCAGGACTTATTACTTAAAGCACAACCAGCCATGAAAAAAGATTTATTGGATGGTGTTAAAAAGTTCCAGGTGGATACTGTGGAATTTTACAAAGACTATGATGATAAGTGAGTGACTTATGATGCAGTACAAAGTACACTGGTGACAGTTCTCAAGTGCTATACAGATGTTTCAGGAAACAAATAAAGAATTGCAAAAGACAAGCTCCATGTGGAAAAAATATGCAGTTTGAGGGGGAAAAAAATCTCAATATGTATGACAATTAAAACACAATTAGATAATCATTGTCATAGATTCATTTCTTGTAACAGTAATTTCAGTATAGGGTTCAAGTATGAAATTGCAAAAATGTTATTAAGTTTGGAAAAAAAGAAGAATCAGCCAACATAATCTCAAAAAAAAAAACTTTTTAAGGAGCTGAATCTAAATGCAACCTGATATCTGTACTTTAGATATGTATGTTTTGATTTTTGGAGTGGCCCTGGTCTTGAAAACCTTCCTTCAAAGGAAGCAAGTAACAGATTTCAAATCTTAATTTGAAGTTTATGAGTAGCTCTTTCAAAGTTAAAGCATAAAGCCCTCTGGAACATGCTTCTCGGTGCACTGAGCCATGTATGCATGCAGATTTTAATTTAGGTCTAAAATTAGTAAACCCATATTTTAATTGTTCTATTTTGTTTCCTTTACCAATTGTTGCAGTCTTTTTTTCTGAGTTACGTTTTCTGTCTCTCCCCATTTTCACTAGAAGTGGGAATTTTATTACAGTATATTTTTAAAACAATAAAAAATAATGTGAAATGATGAAGAAAAATAAAATATTAGATGTTGTGAGTTTGTAGTAACACAATATGCTAGATACCATAATGAATGTTTTCACCACAATATAGTTTTGACTCAAGAAGGACAAGGCATCTGATGTTAAGGCATGAAAGTTAATCCTCGGGAAAAAATATTTTAGAAGCATTTTGTAGTGTTCAGAGCAGGGGAATTTTCCATTAAAACAATTGTTCTGTTGCACTTGCTTGGGAAAACTGATGTCTGTACTTCAGATATGTATGTTTTGGTTTTCAGTGGCCCTGGTGTGGAAAACCTCCCCCCACAGGAAGCAAGCGACCGATTACAAATCTTCCAAGCCAAGTTTGATGAACTATGGAGGAAGTACATCACTTTTTCTGGTGGGGAGGAATTATTTGGTCTTTCTGTCACAGGTAAAAATGCCACAGCTGGAATTCAATACCACTGCAAAATTATATTAGTCAGGAAATAATGGGATTGCTGTCTTTCTAGTAGCTTTGTCCATAAATGCTGGGTTGTTATGAGATGCCTTCAACAGCGTATTCTTCTGGAGTTTGTTTTTGTAATATAGACAGTAAGACTACTTCTGATGGAGGCCTATCTTTTGTCACTACTGGCAAGCAGGGGGGGCCGCAGCTGCTGCCTCTGTGGTACAGCTCCGACAGGTGAGCCCAGAGCCAGCGCAGGGCCCAGGCTGGCAGTGGGGGCAGGTTACAAGCTGGTGCTGAGCATGGGAAAAGCAGCCCCAGGGCCGGCGCCTCACACTGCAGCCACTTGCAACCCACGTGGGGCTGCCTGTGCCTGCTCAGGACAGCCCCACGCAGGCTGCAAGTGGCTGCAGCAGGGAGCACCAGCCACAGGGCGGGAGAGGGGCCACTTTTCCCCAGCTGCAGCTTTTCCCCAAGCTGCTTTTCCCTGGGCTCCTTCCCTGCCTGGGGTCCTCCCCTTCCCACCCCACCCCCTACCTTACCCGAGGTTCCGGCGCCGGTGCAGCCACGTTTCCAGGCCAGAAGCCCCTGCTGGGGCTTCTGGCTGAGGGGGTGGGGCTGGGCAGGCCCTTCTGTTCCAGGAGTCCGCTGGGGCTTCCCCTGGGTCCTACTGCCCCTGGTTCCTGCCATTTTTGACAGAGACCAAAGACAGATTAATATTTATTTTCTAAAATTTTTGGGGCCCTGCAGGCCAGATAGAATGGCCGTGTGGGCCGGATCCAGCCCATGGGACATATTTTGCCCACCCCTGGTTTAACCCCAGCACTTTTTCCTGCCTAGAGCAGGGGGTCAGACTTGATCTACAAGGTCCCTTCCGATCCTAGAAATCTATGAAATAAAACACTCAAAGCTCCTCCTGAGTCACCATGCCTCTGCAGCAGCCTCCTCCCCCTTCTTTGGACCTCTCTGAACCCCTGGGTTACCTGATCCTTGCCTGCCTGAGCTGGCAGGAGCTCTCTTCCACACATAGTTCCAAGCTGCACTATGCCTCTGCCAGAAAAACCCAGGCTTATAGACCCTGAGCTCCTCTTCTTCCAGTCAGGTGCTCTCCTGACTAGCCACAGGTTTATCCTCTCTACCTGATGGGCAGCTTACTGTGCCTAGGTTACAGCTGCTCCCTTGCTGCCTTCCTTCTCACAGCTAATCCCTGTTGAGCTGTCTGGGGCCCTTTCTGCTGCAATCTCTCCATTAAAGTAACAGGAACACCCTGGTTCTCTGTTATAGCCCCATCAGTCTTTCCTTCTTGGGTGTCCAGTGGGTCAGCTTTCAGAAGATGTGGAAGGTGCTCACTGCTACACCTACTCTATAGCTTTTGGGCACCCTGTTGGGATATAACTGCTGTAGGTTCAAACTCTCCAAGACACAGAAGGACCTAGAACTCAGATCTCTTATATCCTGGGCACATACTTTAACCACTCGACTATTGATGGGGAGCCCCATGTTGTCTGTGTAAATATCTCACTGTCCAGGGCAAATGGAATATGCCATATTAAGTCAGCAGCCCCGGATGAGCTCCATCCGAGGGTACTGAAGGCACTGGCTGATGTCATTGCACAGCCACTAGCAAGAATATTTGAGCACTCGTGGCACACGGGCCAGGTCCGGGAGGACTGGAAAAGAGCCAGTGTTGTCCCTATTTTCAAGAAGGGGAGGAAGGAGGATCCAGGCAACAATAGGCCAGTCAGTCTCACCTCCATCCTTGGCAAAGTCTTTGAAATGATTATTAAGGCTCATATATGTGAGAGCCCAGCAAGAAAAATTATGCTGAGGGGAAACCAGCTCAGGTTCGTAGCAGGCAGATCATGCCTGACTAATCTAGTCTCTTTTTATGACCAGGTTACAAAACACCTGGACGCAGGAGTAGGGGTTGACATCATTTACTTAGACTTCAGGAAGGCCTTCGATACGGAATCCCACCCCGTACTGGTGAACAAGTTAAGGCTGTGACATGGATGATTACACAGTCCGGTGGGTGGCAAATTGGCTAGAGGGTCGTACCCAGAGGGTGGTAGCGGATGGGTCGGTATCGACCTGGAAGGACGTGGGCAGTGGGATCCCACAGGGCTCGATCCTTGGACCAATACTCTTCAATGTCTTCATCAGTGACTTTATCGAGGGATTGAAGTGTACTCTGTCCAAGTTTGCGGATGATACAAAACTGTGGGGAGAAGTGGACACACTGGAGGGCAGGGAACAACTACAGGCAGACCTGGACAGGTTGGACAAATGAGCAGAAAACAACAGAATGCAGTTCAACAAGGAGAAATGCAGAGTGCTGCACCTAGGGAGGAAAATGTCCAGCACACCTACTGCCTAGGAAATGACCTGCTCGGTAGCACGGAAGTGGAAAGGGATCTTGGCGTCCTAGTGGACGCCAAGATGAATATGAGTCATCAGTGTGACGAAGTCATCAGGAAAGCTAATAGCACTTTATCGTGCATCAGCAGATGCATGACAAATAGAACCAAGGAGGTGATACTTCCCTTCTATCAGGCGCTGGTCAGACCGCAGTTGGAATACTGCGTGCAGTTTTGGGCGCCGCACTTCAAGAGGGATGTGGATAACCTGGAG